TATACGTACATATATATATATTTGCTGAGGATTTTCTCATCAGCAGATGTTCTGAATGGATTTTGTGATCATGTCATTCATTCTAGTTGTATTATTTTGAACTTTCTTTGCATAAAGTATTTTCTGCTGCTTGGCCATTTGGACCCTGTAAACAATAGCTTTGGCTAGCAGAGCTGTACGGTCTTTACCGGGACCTTGGTTGAAGCCCCAAGGAGAAGGGCTCTGTACAGACTGGTTCTTCATAGAAAGTCACTGGTTTCCTTTAGGGGAGTCTGATACTGTGAGGTTGCGAAGGCACTCCAGGCCATTTATAAGCAATCCCAGCACAAGGCCAGATGAGGTGGTTTCGTTTCATTTTCTTTACCCATTTAATTCACTTTTACTTTCGGAAAAGTAGTGACTTCAATGCAGCTGAAATGCCAAGCAGTGTGTGTGTATCCTGTGCTTCCTACCAATAGCCATTTCCCAGAATCATATCATAGCTGTGAGTGAGAGGACACTTCTGAAATCTTAGCTGATATGTCTGCCTTGCAAATTTCCTCTCTGTGCAGAAACAGTTGGTCCTGCTTTTATGCATTTAAGGACAGCTTCAGACCTACTGTGGTATATGCACATAGCTCCATAGGTCCTACTGAGCTGACTTAGCTAATATGTATCTTCCTCTAAGTTGGAACAAGACAGTAGAAAATATCTTCAATGCAAATATTTGTGACTCCTCAGTAGCCTGATCACTTTTAAATACATATGTCCCCAATTAAGTGTAGTGTGACCCTAGTGAAGCTTTTGTCAGAAACAGGAGCAGAGGTGGTGACCCACCATCTGATCCTCAGAGAGGCAAGAGAATGGATTTCTGAGAGAGGCCAGAGGGGAGCCTGCCTGTGAGAATGGAGTCGCCTTTCCAACTCTACAATCAGAGTGGTTCATCTGTCTGTTGGGTTGGATTACGTATACCTTTCTGAAAGTTTATTTTTAAAGGCTTTGGTGTTGTGACACAAAATAGTTAATTCCTACAAATGCTCTCTGAAGATGTGGTAGGTACTGAAAACATTTGTTAACTCAGTGGAGATTTTGCTACCTTATGGAATTGTTTAAATGCGCACATCAGTCCCATTTTATTCTGATGATTTAAAAATTAGGGCTTTTATGTTTGGGATCACAGATTTTTTTTTAAGCCTGTGAGACTCACTTGTTCTGCAGTCATTCCTAATCGGGGTAGGATGACCCCCTGTCCCGCCCTCTGCAGAGAGTGTGGCCTAGGTGTTTGGAGGCCGGACCGCAGAAGCTGCTCTCATCATTGCTTGCCCTTGGCAGTTTACAGCTTCGTCTGGTTTATCTTTTTTCAACCTAAGCTTCTCATACTTCTTTATTTGTGGCTAATTACGCCCCATTAGGTTTTTTCTTATTTCTCTGCTGCATTCTCGCAATTGTCCCAAGTTTTAGGGGAAAAAATGGATTAGTCCCATTTCTACCCATGCCCCCTGAGCCCTGTGCTTGAATACAATGAGGTCACTTTGTTGAAGGATTAACTTTATATTACATTCTTGCAGAGTAGACGTATGTCCCTAAGGTACGACTGCCCCCACTGATGAAATAAATATACCATTCTTTATGATTCCTCCCTGTTACCCTCTCTGTTGATTTTCAGAGAGTTTATGAATAGTCACATATTTATACAACTGGCCAAAAGTATACTACTTATTTTTCTTATGGTCTGTAATAACCTATGCAAGGTGATTAAAGGGTATACAGACCCCTTTTAAGGCATAGTTTCTTATGTCATTACTTTATACAAGGAGGTCAAATTCCATGTTGGCAACAATCTCTTGCTCTTAACATTTTTATCTGATTATAAAAGTAATATACGTTCATTGTGCAAAATTTAGAGAATGCACAGCCCAGGGAAGGAAGAAAGGTACTTTCAAGATGCACTTCATAGAAATAACTACTTTAGGCATTTTATACCCAGACACGCTTTCTTTATTCTATGTATGTTCATTTAAAAACAAAGCAACCTTATTGTACATATAAACTCTTATAATCTGCTTTTGAACCTAGCAACATATTGTATGTCCATAAATGTTTTCTCCTACGGCGTTGCACGTGAGGATCGCATCACATTCCATTCCACGGCTCTACCACCATCTGACCATCCTCCTCACTAGACACTCAATCCGTTATTATCAGGTTGTTTTTATTTTTACGTAATAATCTTTTTCAGATTACCTATCTCATTCACTAATTCGTTTGTGTTTTTTTCTGTAGTCTGTGCAAGCAGAGAAATCATTGGCACCTTTGAATTTAAGACAACGAGCTTAAAGATATGTCTTATGTATTTTCAGTGTTACCTTTGTCTACAGCACTGGACAATGTTATTGTAATATTCACTGCCTAAGTTGAGGGCAGGTTAATATACTTAAAAATATGAGCGTAGAGTAAATCATAAAGGCATGGGAAATACATTAAAGGCCTTTGTCTCACTATCTGAGATATTTCCTCTCACATAGTATACTTCCATAGAATAGATGCTTATTTTTCTTTGAATAATGAGTTTACGGTATTTAATTCAATTACTCTTTGTGGTGGCAGAGTGACTACTCAGGTCTTTAGCTATTAGTTCCATATGGTATTTGAATTGGTTCTTTTAATTGCAGATATTAAGTGTCGGTCATTCTGCTGTGAGTTAGCTGTGTGGACAGATAAACATATCTCCCCCTACTCAATACATCAGACAGTCATTCCATTAACAACCCCAGGTTTCTTGACACTGTAGGAATTAATTCATTATGCAAACAATGGAAGGGGTGGGTCAACAATTCAAGTTTTATTGGTGGCTTACACTGAAAAGTAAAACCAAGAATTAGAATTTTCAGGATGCTGAATTATGTCTTCAGCTATTAAAATGATACATTTAATTGTCTAAAGCTATTTTTATGGTAAAACATCTCTGATGGCAATTAGCATTATGCGTGTGGGATGGATGTGATATATAACTTAAACCTGGGTGCTCGTTCCCATTGCTCTCATGCATTTCTTGATTAAATACACTGGATTTTACGAGTAACAGCTTCCCTGCATAAAGAGTTCTATGGCTTTTTCTCTACAAGTCTAATTTGAAAAAAGAATTCTTCTCAAGGGTTTAGAAAGTAATTCATAAAATGGGAGGAATAATAAATACTGTGCCTTCACTCATATACTAGTATAGATAGAAAGATTTGGTACACCTGGGTCTAATTTTAGTTAATTTCCACAAGAGACAGGTCTAAAGTTTACTGTTTGGAAGTGGGGGAAGGAGGAGAAGATGGCTGAATCTCATACTTGCAAAAATGATTACATTGTCTTAAATGAAAATGCTACTCTACTAACAACTTCCATAAGCATTGCATTTGGGAAAAAAATATTTTTAATCAAAAGTTACCTGAAGTTCACTCCAACTTAAAATAGACAAGTGAGGAAAAAAGTACTTACTCTGATTTATGTGTCTTTCGGAGGTGTAATTATTGGCTTTTTACTCACCTTTGTAAAACAATGTACTTTTGTAAATGGATTTCTGGCCACTTTATGCAGCCTTTCCCCACCCCCACCCCCTTTTTTTCTTACATAAAAAGTAAGCACTGTCAATCAAAGAATTTTAAGGTTTATTTCCTCTTTAGAAATGATTGATAGCCTTTTAGATTTACAAGTTGACAAGTTAAAGAGTTCTATTGGTATAATTATGTACTAAATTCAGTCTTTCAATTTAAATGTCCTTTTAAAACCACCAGATTATCATACCTGTATTTTGAAAAGTGGGCCAGTCAGTTTGGGTTGGTATACAAATTGCTTCCATTAGCCTTGGGACCTATTTGAATTTAATACAGTTTTTTAAAGTTAGTAGTAGTCTGAATCTTACTTTTAAAATTTAGGTTAATGGAAATGCATTTTAAGTAAAGCATGTGGCAACTTGTTTTCTAATGTATAGCTAACTCTCAGAACTACACATACTGTCTTTTTACTCTGTATGGGAGAAAATACATGGTTGAATACTTTGGTTATACTAAAAAAAAAAAAAGGAAACACAGAAAAGAAGAAAAATCCCATCCACCCCCACCTATCACTTAGAGGACATGGGGAATGTGGGCAGAGGATGGAGCTTCCATCTTTCCCCAGTCAGGGGAGAGAGGCTGAAGGTATTTCATATCCGGGGAGGAATTTTGAAAAGGGTAGACCGGAATCCACTTTCTATCATTTTTAATTGTAGGGTGATTTGAAGAGGGTAGAGAGCATACGGATACAACAAGGCCTATTGTCTCAAAATGTTATTACAGGTTTGCTCTTCTTTCAGTCTCTCCAAGAGGTCTTCTCAGAGGCCCAGCTGCTCTACCTAGTGCTCTGCAGATGCAGGTCTTTTTCCTGAACTAATATTGGTGTGGGTGTGCCCTCTGTCATTCTAGATGAGGGTGCTGCACCAAGTCTCCACAGACTCCATCAGGGGTAGAATAGTCTTTCTATGCTAAGACGATCCAGTCTCCCCTGCCCCTCACCACCCTCTGCAGGCCTAATGACCACAGAAGGCACTGAGGTATTGTCCCTGAGGAGGTCCACTAGAGATGTTTCAGTTAAACAAGTACTTTTAATTCTCCCACTGTTCATAATCTGTGGATGCCCTCAGACAAGCCCTTAAGCATTTGACCTGAGCTTCTGACCAGAGTGAATCCTGAAACCTCACATCAAACACCGTGTTACTTTCTATAATGTAAGCAATATAGAATTTAGTCAGAAAAGCAGAGTTCAGGACCTGCTACTGATCTTCTTCTGAGTGAATCATTCCCCACCACGGTAAATAACAGAAGTAGATGGTGGAAATGTTCAGCAAGGGGATCATTCGGCTGATCATTTATGATCTGATTCAACAGTATCCATTAAACTTTGGACTTTCCACTTATTTTTTTCTGCACCATCAGTGTTGCAAATCATGTTCTGTTTCCTGCAATTGTCCTAATTGTGTGACCTCTTCATTGCAGCGCTCAACGAACCCACCATCGATTATGGTTTCCAAAGGTTACAGAAGGTCATTCCCCGGCACCCTGGCGACCCTGAGCGTTTGCCAAAGGTCAGGATACCTCCTCTTTGGGTTATGGTCTCTGGAAACTTGGGCTCAGGTGATTGGCAGAAAACTTTGCCATTGATGAAAATTAGTTCATAGATAAGCAACTCAGTTTTTGTGTTTTGCATGTTTGGTACTGTAAGGTAAACAATGACAGAAGTAGCAGGCACTCAGGTGGCAGGTAATGTACTAATTTTTAAACATGCCAAGTCATTTCTTCCTCTCAAAATGCTCCAAGTTGGTACTATGACCACCTCTATTTTGGAGAAGAAAATAGCCCAGCAAAGAGAGGTTAAATCACTTCCCCTAGGTCACACAATATGTAAATTACTGAGACTCAAACCTATACAGCCTGTCTTCAAAGTCCAGGGTATTAAATCACTGTATCACGGCAGTTTTCAAGAGGAACTTCTCTACCTACGTGAGGGTTTGTACTTAACCCTGGTGAAGCTAGAGCTCAGAAGAAACATTGGTAGATCCTGTAACAGAGCAAGTAAAGCAGAGCCTCTTACCTCCAGCAGCATACTGACTAATTAGGAAATTAGGCACAAACTTGTGTGAAATTAAACAAAACTTCAGGACAGAGTAATATATGCCAAATGCAGAAAGAAGGCAGTTCACATTTATTGACTTCTATTCTGCGCCTGTTGTCAGTGTTGGGGGTATTCCCATCTCTGGACCCCAGGAATTTGTGGGAGAGATCTCTATGCACAGCTAATCTAACAGAAAGTAACTCATACATTTAACAAAAGCACAAGCCAAGTTCTGCGAGGACTCAGAGGGGACAACAGTTAAATGCTAAAGAAGTTCAAAGTACACAATTACTTGAACTACCTTCACTATTTACTGACAGCAAAATGAAATTGCATGTACTACACAAGTGAAAACTGTTATAATTAAATGAGTACACAAGAGGTCCTCTGCTTGCTGCAGTCAGTCGAGGGAAATGTCATTTCCTGGTCTGTTCCTTGTCATAAAACTTAAGTTGGCATCCTTCCTAGCTCAGCAAACTTCTTTGGGGGATCCTACCTGTGCGCCTGCTTCCCTGGGAGTGTGAGGGGGCCGGTGGGTGCGGGAGGGGGCTGCCTGCCCAAAGACAGAAAGAACTGTGACAAGCAGAAGGGCCTGTCCTGTGCCTGGACACCAGGGAAGAACCACGCAGACTGCAGTCTCGGCCTTCAGCTTCCCAGAACAGCCTCACTTCTCCCCAAGGCTGTCCACCTCTGGAGAAACTTCTCAAAAGCATTTCACTTGAAGAAACCATATGATATGTCAGGCGGTTCACCTCCTTGTCTTTCAAAGGGGCCTCCATCTTACACATCCTTCCCTTTCACCCTGACTTCTTTTAGTGAGCAGTTAAGTAATCCAATAATAATAGTGAACAGCAGTCTCTCTCCCCTCCAGCATAGCCCTGCCTTGGAGACATTCACCTTTAGCTTCCTCTGCCTTGGAAGAACCTAGTTGCCGTACAGCTCCTATGGGACAGCAACTGGTCATTTCACAACACAGTGATATAAATAATGTGCGTCCACCCAAGGATCAGTGCCTTTGGTGTCTCAGCGGTCAGAAGAGGGTACAAAGTCAGATCCCTTCCAATTTTTTCCATTTGGGGACATCTTCATTTTCCATTTGGCATTTGCTATCTATAGAGTCTGCTGAAGTACTGGAGACTCAGACTGGGTAGGCTGGAACTCAGAGTGAGGACATTTACTAGCTATTCAACTGGGGTAAGAAGTTCTTTTTTCCCCCCTCCTAAATTCTTACCCATCTGTGCCTCAACTGCCTTCTCTATCAAGTGGGGATAATACGATTTCCTACTTTTTGGGGGGGTTGTTAATTTAATCACTCACCTAGTACTCCATAGAAGGTAGCTACGATTATTTGCCAATTGAGGTAGAGTGGGACCCTTGCCTCTGAGAGCTCTTCCAACCCAGCCTCTGCCGAGCAGGAAATCCTAATCTTGTTGAGCAACTCACTGTATGATTTATCTTTCATGCCTCAGTTTCTTCATCTATAAATGGGGATCATAATTGTGCTGACATCATGCAGATCACATTCGGATCAAAAGAGTAACCCGGATCTGACCCACAATTGCCACTCTATGACCATTTGTTGAAAAACAGAAGTAAATCAGGTCTAATGGTTGAGGTCTAAAGAAGCCAGGAAGTACTTTTCTTATTCATAAAGAAACAAGAGATATAGGAATTGGTTGAGTTTTGTGTACTTGCTTTTAAAAACATTTTTGGTTGCACATCACGTTCAGAAATGTGGAACAAATAGCACAGGCACGTGTCATTTTGTCCCCAGTGGCCTGATGGTGAGATTCGCAGCCCCTTTTTCCTGGGTTTGGGGAGTGTAATCAAGGACACAATGGATTTGTGTGTCAAGGAAACACTCCACAGCTTGCATCTAGCCACTTGACTGTGCAGGGACTTTGGCCAGAGCCCACCCCAGGAAGCTCTCTGTGTGCCTCGGATCAGAGTGGCTGTCGTCTTGGCTCTGAGTGTTAAGGTGGAGTAAGAGTTCAAGAGCAGGGTCAGGAAGTGGCGGATGGAGCCAGCACCGGGTATTCCTGTGGACTCGGGAGATTTATACTCCTGCTGTCCATTGTTACATGGATAAAAATGGGCCCCACCTTTCTTAGAATCATGGTCAGTGTTTGTCAAACAGGAGTGTTTCAGTGAGCTATGGACCACACACCTTAAAAAACAAACTACACTTTATTAAACCCATGTGTTTGTGAATAGACAAAGCTAGATTCATACAACCACCCACATATTCTGTCAAATGAAACTGCTCCAAAGACCTAGCAGACAGCTTTCCATAATAATATGCCTTTGTATACTGGCTGGTGCTTTGTCAGAGAACTTGTACATGCTTTGTTATTGAAGCCCCTCTTGTGACAGACACTGGGGAAGCAGACATCATTCCTGTTCACCAAATGAGAAAACAGGAGCAAGCTGAATCCTTCTCTTTAAATTATTTTGTCCCTGAAACTCACCATTAGAGATAGTTGCTGTACACACAAACTTAAAATACTGTAATTATGCTAACCCCAGATGTTTTTTGGCTTCCTTTCTCATGTGCACATGGAGAAGGGCAGGCTAAGGTTTTTAAATCGCAGCATTCTCTTTCTCTCCACACCAGCTTGCCTTCCTCTCTGCACCCGGGCAGGAGGGAGAGGAGCCCTCGAGGGACCGACTTTGGGTCCATGGTTGACTTTTCTTGTATTGTAGAGGTGAGGGGGATGGGGACTGTGGTCAGTCAGAAATTCTGAGATGCTGAAGTGCATGATGCAATCCAGAAACACTGAGCAAGGAGCTCTCTCTGTTTTGAGGGCCAGAGGTGTCTCTATCCCCTTTCTCTTTGTCACTGACCTTGTGAGAGGGCCGCAAGCATTAGCCCAAAGACAGGGAGAGCAGGTCCTGACCTGTGCCAGCATTCCAGGGGTTAGCGGCGAGTGCCAAGAGCAGGAAACGTTTCCTTCATGCCTACTGTGCACCTGGCACGGCTTTATCAAGGGTTTTGAAGAACACAGAGACTAAGAGAGTGGGCTCATAGCTCAGAGAGATGTGGATTTCGAGACTGATGCTGTGCTCAGTGCAACCTTCCCAGGCTCAGTTCTCTCCTTCAGGAAGCAGCTGCCACACGGTGTTGCTGTTGGGCATTAATGAGGTACTTTATGCAAAACAGGTCTATAGCAAGACTTCAGTAGATGGGACTACATTTCACAAGGTGAGTGCGTCCACTTCACAGGGTCAGAGTTCCCAGAGGGCTGATAACTTGCAGTGACTTCACAGCTAACAAGTGGGAAAATGGAGATTCAAACTCAGGTCCTTGGGCTTGAAAGCCTCACTTTGCTACCACAGCATTGAGTTCCCACTTTTCCCTCAGATCTGGAAGCCCAAATAATTCTGCCTGGAGGTCATTATCTTCTCCCTCCTGGCCCTCGCCCACACCACAGCCCCCTCCTCCTGAAACCCTCACCAGCTTTTCTCTCATTCCCCCACCCAGAGGGGTCAACTGGGGGCTTCCACAGGGCAAATGTTCTTCATCCAAGATCCAGTCCCTCTTTTAGAGAAAATAAAGCAGTTTGAGAAAAGTCACAAAGGCAGCATTTGTGTATTTTGCTTTATGGAGCTGAAAATATCTGGTAAATTGATCCAGTGGGAGTAATAAATACACATTACTTTATCTTGTTCTTCATGTCCTATACCCCTGAGCCTTGATAGAACAACACCACTTAATAGACTTAAAAAAGAGTAATTACGCTCATTGGTTGTGTGATTTTTCAGCCCTCCCAGCCCTGCCTGACCTTCTAATTTAGCTCACCGTGTCTAACTAATGCATTTATATTCATCTTTTATGAAGCATGTATAGTACAGAATTGACTTCAGAGTCTTTTCCAAGCTGTCCTCCCAGGTCTCCAATCTGGTTAGCAGTCAGGAGAGCGGGAGCGATCCATCTCTATCCATTCGCATGCATAGGTAACACATATACACGGCTCCAAGCATTTTTTATCCTTTATGAAATGTAATAAAAAGTATTTATTACATTTTTTACTTTAAAGCTTTTATACATTCTAGCATTATTTACAGCTAAACATGCAGGCAAAAGATGCGAGTGTTTTTAAAATGATTACTGTTAATGTTTCTGCTTGTCAGAAGTGCTTAAATTTTCCTGCACTTTGTCTAAAAACTTAGTACTGTTGCCTTTTAAGAACAACACATTTAAAAGATCTTGCAAGTCAGATGTGCAAACACTGCTGACAGTTTGTGATGAATAATATTGCAAAATTTGCAAGATGTTTGTCATTTCGCACCACCGACATATTAAGGAACAGATTAAGAAACGCAAAACCCCTACGGAAAACAACCGTCCCAAACAAAAACCAAAACAAACCCCATCCAAACCTTGAACCCGGCGAGTGCTCACACCAGAATCTCTCACCCGGGCTTCCTCTCCAAACTTCCCACTCAGCCATTGGAACCCAATTGTTCTCAGTG